TGGGATAGCTTCATGTTTATCCCTGTTACAGAAAATGCTTTCTCTTGGTTTAGGTAGATACTATTTATTCCTATGCTTTCTAGTGTTTTTTAATAAGAATGGGTGTTGCATTTTGTCAAAGGCTTTTTCTGCATCTATTCATATAATCACATGATTTTTGTTGTTTTTGTTATTGATATGGTCAATTATGCTGATAGTTTTCCAATATGGAATCAGCCCTGAATTCCTCATATAAATCTCACCTTGTCATAGTGTATGATCTTTGTGACATATTGTTATTATCTCTTCAGTAGTATTATATTTAACAATTTTGCGATGATATTCATTAAGGAAATTGGTCTATAATTTTCTTTCTCTGTTTTCACTCTTCTTGGTTTAGGTACCAAAACCATATTGTATCATAAAAGGTATTTGGTAGGACTCCTTCTTTGCCTATTTAAAAAAATAATTTCTGTAGTATTGAGATTAATTATTTCTAAAATGTTTTGTAGAATTCACTTGTAAATTCATTTGGTCCTGGGGATTTTTTTCTTAGGGAGCTCACTGATGGCTTCTTCAATTTCTTTTTTTTTTTAATGGTTTGCCAATTTCTTTTTTTAATTTTATAAAATTTTTAAAATTTTAAACTTAAATACAAAATGAGAAAAGAAAAAAATTGTCATGTACACAGCAGACCATAAGAGAGAATTCAGTATGAAACAATAAATTTCCATTTCAATAAAACCTATTTAATGAACACTACACATTGTTTTCAAAGCTCCTCAGCTTTTCTTTGCTTCCTTATTGGTTTTCTTTTGTTCTTTGTTGTGCACTTTTTATTTTATTTTTTCCCATCCCTCCCCCCCCACACAACCGCCCTAAAGAAGGCTACAATTAGGCATGGATATATATACATACACATATATACTCATACACATATATGTAAGGCCATACTATGCTTATTTCCATCTATCATCTGCTTCTCTGAAGGGGGACAGCATCTTCCTTCATAGATCCAAGTCTTTCCATGTTTTTCTAAATCAATCAGCTCATCATTTCCTACACCACAGGAATATACCAACCCAAACACACACTGTGTGAGAGATTGTCTATGAAAGTTTTTTCCCCCAATTTTCTATATTCCTTCTGTTCTTGGCTATGTAGGTTTTATTTATACAAGAAAATTGGCTTATTCAATTTCTTTTTCTAAGATAGGGTTAGCTAAGTGTGCTATTTTTTTCCATAAATTTGGGCAGTTTATTTTTTGTAAATATTCATATATTTCATTTAGATTGTCAGTTTTATTGCCATATATTTGGGCAAAATTACTCCTAATAATTGCTTAATTTCATCTTTATTGGTGATACATTCACCATTCTCATCTTTGATGCTGGTAATTTGGTTTTCTTCTTTGTTTCTTTGTTTCTTTCTTTCTTTCTAGTCAAATTAACCAATAGTTTACCTATTTTTTACATAATCTGCTTCTAGTTTTATTTGTTAGTTCAATTTTTTATTTTCAATTTTATTAATCTCTCCTTTGATTTTTAGGATTTCTATTTTGGTGTCTAGTTAGTGATTTTTAATTTGTTCTTTTTCTGTCATTTTTTTTAGTTGAATGCCCAATTGTCAACCTGCTCTTTCTCTCTTTTATTGATGTGTTTAGAAATATAAAATTTCTCCTGAGTACTACTTTGGTTGCATCCCACAAATTTTGGTATGTTGTCTCATTGTTGCCATTCTCTTTGATGAAATTATTGATTATTTCCATACTTTGTTCTTTGACCCACTCATTCTTTAGAATTAGATTATTTAGTTTCCAATTAACTTTTAATTGATGTTTTCATGGCCCTTAATTGAATATAATTTTGTTGCAGTATGGTCTGGAAAGAATGCATATGATATTTTTGCTTTTCTGTATTTGCTTGTGAGATTTTTTTATGTCCTAATATGTGGTTACTTTTTGTGAAGGTGTCATATACAGCTGAGAAAAAGGTGTACTTCTTTCTCTTCCTATTCAGTTTTCTACAAAGGTCTATCATCTTTCTTATTTATTTTATCTTCTTTCTTATTTATTTTACTGTTAGATTTATATAGCTTTGAGAGAGAAAAGTTGAGGACTCCCATAGTTTTACTGTCTATTTCCTTCTATAATTAATTTAATTTTTCCTTTAACAATTTGGATGCTATGCCATTTGGTACACATATGTTTAATATTGATATTACTTTATTGTCTATGGTACCTTTTAGCAAAATGAAATTTTCTTATTTAACTCTTTCAATTAGGTCTTTTTTTTGTGCTTTGTCAAGATCATGATTGCTACCGCTGCCTTTTTTTATCTCAGCTGAAGCATAATAGATTTTGCTCCAGCCCTTTATTTTAATTCTGTGTGTATCTCTCTGTTTCAAATGTGTTTTTTGTAAACAATGTATTGTTAGATTCTAGTTTCTCATTGATTCTGCTATCTGCTTCCAGTTTATGGGTGAGTTTATCCCATTCACATTCACAGTTATGATTACTAACTGTGCATTTCCTTTAGTCTTATTTTCTTCTGTTTATCTTTTTCTCTGTCTCTCTCTGTCTCTGTCTGTCTGTCTGTCTCTCTCTTATCTCTCCTCTAAACTCTGTTTTGCTTCTAGCCACTACCTTCTTTTATCTGCCCTCCCTTTTATCACTCCCCCCCCCAATTTCCTTATCCTGTTCCTCACCTACTTTCTTATTGGGTAACATAGATTTCTATTACTAATAGATTATGTATATGTACTTTTCCCTCTTTATATCAATTTAGATGTGAATGAGGCTCAAAAATTGCTCCCACCCCCACCATTTCTCCCTCCTTGTCTGCTTCTTTTATGTGAGATAATTTCCTCCATTCTACCTAAAGTATTTTATCTTTGACCTGGGAGCTCTGGAATTTGGCTATTGGTATCTCTCTCATGTGGTGATTGGTGGATTCTTTCAATTTCTATTTTACCCTCTGGTTCTAGGATATTAGGGCAGTTTTTCTTTATAATTTCTTGAAATATGATGTCTAGGCTCTTACTTTGATCATTGATTTTGGGCTGTCAAATAATTCTTAAATTACTTTGTCTCTATCTATTTTCTAGGTCAGTTGATGTCTAGGCTCTTACTTTGATCATTGATTTTGGGCTGTCAAATAATTCTTAAATTACTTTGTCTCTATCTATTTTCTAGGTCAGTTGTTTTTTTGATGAAATATTTTACATTCTTCATTTTTTTCATTCTTTTGACTTTGTTTCATTGTTTCTTGATGTCTTATGGAATCATTAGCTTCTGTTTACCCAATTCTAATTTTTAAGGAGCTATTTTCATCAGTGAATTTTTGTACCTCTTTCTCCATTTGACCAATTCTAGTTTTTAAGGTGTTACTTTCTTCACTATTTTTTGTGCCTCTTTTACTAAGCTGTTAATTATCTTTTCATAATTTTCTTCCTTTGCTCTCAGTTCTTTAATTTTTGGGGGGGTAGGGTGAGGTAATTGGGGTTAAGTGACTTGCTGAGAGTCACACAGCTAGTTAAGTGTTATGTGTCAGAGGCTGGATTTGAACTCAGGTCCTCATGACTCTAGGGCTGGTACTCTACCCACTGTACCATCTAGCTGCCCCTCAGTTCTTTAATTTTTCTCCTACCACTCTTATTTGATTTTGAAAATTATGGGTTTTTTTTAAAGCTCTTCCAGAATTCTTGTTGGGCTTGTGCCAATTCACATTTTTCCCTTGAGGATTTGCTTATAGCTATTTTGACTTCACTGTCTTCTAAGTTTGTGTCTTGATTTTCCCTGTTGCATAGTACCTTTTTATGATCAGATCCTTTTCTTCTTGTTTGCTCGTTTTCCTATTTCTTGAATTTGAACTTTATTTTAAAGTTAGACTCTGTTCTCAGAGTGAAGGGGAGGGGAAAAGGGGAATGGGACCTTTCTCAAGCTTCATGTTTTTATGTACTGTTCTTTTCAGAGCTAGTTCTGGGAGTTTGGAAGTTTTTGGTGCTCCCAAAGTGGTGTGATCTGGGGAAAGGTGTGGTCACTGCTTTCTTAATCTGCACTCTGGTCCTTACCTAGGAAGGGTCCCTAATCCTTGGGATTATAATTGATACTATTCCTCAGGGTCCCTGATCCCTTATGACCAAAGTTGATATTACTCCTTAGGGCTCCTGCTTCTTCTTGACCGAAAGTGCTCCTTTCCCACCTTGAACTATGACTCAGAAGTGGATATAAGCAATGGAGTTACCAAACAGCATCTAGTCCTATGTCCAATGTTAGCACAGAGTTCCCCTGTAATATCTTCCTGACCACTTGCCAGGTCCCCTTACTGTCTCTGGCTTGAGAGCTCTCAAAGCTGCTGCTTCTTCTGTTGCCACCACCTAGTCTCACCACTTTAGTTGAGTTTGTGCCCAAGTTGTGTTTTCCTCTGAGGCATTGCTTATAGATGTTTTGGAGTCATTCTCTTCTGTGTTTGTGTCTTGAGTATCTCTGACACCGTAATAACTCATTATAGTAAAGTTCTTTTTTGTTTGCTTTTTTTTCCAGCCTACTTCCTGACTTGGGTTTTGATGTTAGGACCGGACTATATGGCACTTCTGGCGGGAAGGTCTGGGCTTGTCCTTTTTTTTCTGGAGGTAATGAGTGTTGTGTTATTCCAGGATCTCAAGGACAATTTGGGGGCCTGCAAGCCTTTAGTGATCTGAAGTAGTCCAGTCCAGAGCACAGTCTTTCACTAGTCCCTTTGTCTGAATTCCGCAAGTTTCTGAACTGGATTTGGGTCTGAGTAAGGGTGTACTGCTGTTGGACTCAGCCCCTATCAGCCATCTGTAAAGCTATTTTAGTTCAGTGTGGCAAAATCAAAAGCCCTCTTTCATCTATTTCCTGCTTTTGTTTTTCCTCTGCAGGTTGGGCTAGATTCTGGAAGGGACAACCTGCTCTGAACTTGGGGTCTGCCTCACACCACTGTTGTTGCTGGCTTCTGAAATTCCTCCTTTCCTAGTATAACACCCAGGACCTCCCTTACCTGAGAATGCCACCTCTGTTCACAGGTCATCTTCGAACTCTGCCCTGGCTCTGTGACTCAGAACTGAGTAGTGGGTCACAAAACTGTCAGCTGGCATCTGTCCCCATCCTGGTGAGATGACATTAAATGGGAATTACAAGGACTTTCTAACCCTAAGTCAGATAAAGTCTTGGAACAAAGACACTGTCCTTTGGAGCTAGGTAGCTGATTAGCTGCTCTGAGTTTGGCACCTGGAGGCCAGGCTCTCCTTTTAGAGGAAAAAAAAAGATATAATATCCAAGATTCTGAGAACTACAAGATTTTCCACGAGAAGGAAAAGAGTTAAGGTTCTTTCCCTAAACTTATTGGGTAAGTGAGGGCCTTGTCATTTTTATTTTCTAAACTAAATGTCATTATTTTCAGTGACCAAACATCTATATTTTTTTAACCTTCTACCTTTCCCCAACACTGAAAAAAAGTAAAACAAAAACAAAATCCTATCCCAGAGATCATAAAAAAGGTGAAAGGACCCACATGTACAAAATCATTTGTAGTAGCTCTTTTTGTGGTGGCAAGGAATTGGAAATTGAGGTGATGCCCATCAATTGGGGAATGGCTGAACAAGTTATGGTATATGAATGTAATAGAGCATTATTATTCAATAAGAAATGATGAGCAGGCAGATTTCAGAAAAACCTGGAAAGACCTACAGGAACTGATGTTGAGTGAAATGAGACTTAGCTCTTCTCAGCAATGCAACGATCTAAGACAATTCCAGGAGACCAGGGATGGAAAATGCTACCCACAACCAGAGAAACAACTATGTAGTCTGAATGTAGATTGAAGCATGCTATTTTCTCTTTTTTTGGTTGTTTTTCCTTTCTCGTAGTTTTTCCCTTTTGTTCTGATTCTTCTTTTACAGCATGACTAATGTGGAAATACATTTAATATGATTATACATGTATAGCCTGTATCAGATTGCATGCTCTCTTGGGGAGGAGGGAAGAGAGAGAAGGGAGAAATTTCAGAACTCAAAATCTTATAAAAGTAAATGCTGAAAACTAAAAATTAATTAATTAATTAATCTTAAAAAAAACCAAAATCCTTATAACAGATAAACAAAACAAATCATAACACTGGCCACATCCCCAAAATGTGTGTCTCTTTTTTTCATGTTAGCTCATTAGCTCTGTGTAAGGAGGTGAGCCATATTCTTCACCATCGGTCATCTGAAATCAAGATTGGTCATTGCATTGATCAGAGTTCTCATGTCAAAATTGTTTGTTTTTACAATGTTGAAGTTATAGTATGAAATGTCCTCCTGGTTCTACTAATTTTACTTTGCATCACTTCATATAAGTCTTTTCATGTTTCTCTTGAGGGTATAAGCCTAGCAGTGGAATTACTGCATGAAAGTTTGTGCAAAGATTAGTAACTTTTGAGAGTTTCAAATTACTTTTCAGTATGACTGGGGCAATTAATTCACAGGTCTATCAAATGCATAAACATGTCTGTTTTCTTTCAGCCCATCTAACATTTGTCATTTTCCATTTTTGGTTCATTTTAACAATCTGATGGTTGTGAGGTAGAACTCTAAGTTGCTTTAATTTTCACTTCTTTAATGATTTTTGAGCATTTTATTTATATGGCTAAAGATAGATTGGTTTCTTCCCTTAAGAATTGCCTGTTCCTATCCTTTGACTATTTTATCAACTGGGAATGATTCTTATGCTTATAAATTTGAATCATTTCCTTTATGTATCTTGGAAATAAGACCTTTGTCAGGTGAACTTGTGGCAAAGATTTTTCTTAGTTAGTGGTTCTTTTTAAATCTTATTTGCATTGAATTTGTGCAAAACCTTTAAAAATTTTTATATATTTTCCTCCGTTCTATTTTCTTATACTTTTCCCCCTCTTTGTTTCCTGCCCCATTGTTTCATAGAAGAAGAATGACATGGAACAGGATTGTATTTAATATCAAAGATCTATGTTAGATGGAAACAATTTCTATTCCCTTGACTCTTTTCTCTTTCCCTCACTAAAACCCCAGTCATAGGTTCTTTCCTTCTCTTTCTTTTCTTTTAAACCCCTTTTCATGACTTGTGGAGTCTTTCTATTTCTACTTTACCTTCTGCTTATAAGAGTTCTGGGCAGTTTTCTCTCATGATTTCTTGAAATATAATTTCTTGGGCCCTTTTTTAGTCATGACTTTCAGGTAGTTTAATAATTCTTAAATTATCCCTTCTTGATCTGTTTTCCAGGTCAGTGGGTTTTTTTGTTTGTTTGTTTGTTTGTTTTTTTGCTTTGAGATATTACCCATTTTGGTCTATTTTTAAAAGCCTTTTGACTTTGTTTTATTATTTTTATTGTCTCATTAAATCCTTAACTTCTATTTGGTCCATTCTAATTTTCAAAAACTATGTTACTTGGGCAAGATGTTGTATCTCTTATATGCTAAGCTGTTAATTATTTTCCTAAGTCTTTCCTCCATAACTCTCACTTCCCCCCCCCAATTATATCCTCTAGTACTCTCATCTCAGTCACACTGTCATCTTAAACACACTTTTTTAAAGAACTCATGTATCATTTCTTTGGGAAATTCTAAATGCTCTTGTAAGAAGCTGTGAGTTTTTTGTTTTGTTTGTTTGTTTTGTTGCTATTTTGAAATTATCTTCTTCCTGGGTTTGTATCTTGGACATTTCTGACATCAGAATAACTTGATCTTTTTTTTTTTTTTGAATTAATCACTCTTCCAGCTATCTTCTCTGGGCAACCTGACTTTGCTGGTCTACCTGGGAGACCTAGGGGATGAATTTTTGTAAAAACAATTTTTAACATTCGTTTTTAAAACTTTGAGTTCCAAATTCTCTCCTTTCTTCCCTCCCTGAATCCTCCCCATTGAGAAGGTAAGCAACGTGTAGTCATGCAGACCACATCCATAATAGTCATGCTGTGAAGAAAACATAGGAAAAAAAACTCAAGAAAAATAAAGAAAGTAAAAAAACAAGTGTGCTCCAATCTGTTTTCAGACACATCAGTTCTTTCCCTGGGGATGGAGAGAATTTTTCAACATAAGTCCTTCAGAGTTGTCTTGGATTGTTGTGTTGCTGAGAATAGCTAAGTCATTCACAGCTGATCATCTTAACAATACTGCTATCACTTTGTATACAGTACATTTCTCTTTGTATCAGCTCATGTAAGTCTTTCCAGGTTTTTCTGAGAGCATCCTGCTTATCATTTCTTATAGAACAATAGTATTCCATCGTAATCACATACCACAACTTGTTCAGCCATTCCCCAACTGATGGACATCTCTTCAACTTCTAATTTTTTACCCCCAGAAAAGAGCTGCTATCAATATTTTTGTACGTATGGATCCTTTTCCTTTTTTTTTTTTTCATCTCTTTTGGGATTACAGATCTAGTAGTGGTATTGCTAGGTCACAAGGTGTGTGTGTGATGTTATAGCCTTTTGGGCATAGTTCCAAATCACTCTACAAAATGGTTGAATCGGTTCACAACTTCACCAACAGTGCATTAAAGTCTTGTTTTCCCCAAGTTCTCTCCACCATTTGTCATTTACCTTTTCTGTCCTAATAGCCAATCTAATAGGTATGAGGTAGTCTGGGGGATGAATTTTTAATTCTGGTTGTTCTGAAGACTTGCAACCCCCAAGTTGTTGTGTGGTGTTAGGTGGGGTAGATGGGGGAGAGTTTGAATCTACAATCTACTCTAGGCAACTCGACTCCACACTGCTGAACTGGGCTTGGAGATAAGCCCACCATCAGCTCTGGTCATCCATTTGCTGCTTGCCTGGCCTCTCTGGGGTATCTTGTACTGCTGGTTTGTGCCAGGGGCTGAGTCCATGATTGGTTCTTGGTGTCCCCACTCTTCTGACCTATTTTGAAGCTCTGGGTGCTAAGTCTATGTTCCCGGCCCATCCTTGCTCTCCAATTCCTTGCCTGGTCACTTCCCTGTAGGTCAAATTTGTTATCCTGGGCTGGAAAGATGGCCACTATAATTTGTCTCATGCAATGAGAGCCTTGGACTAGATGACCCCGAAGCTCTGGGGCCAGAGTCTTTGGTTTCATGACCTCACCTGGTAAGTTCCACGTGCTTGTCCAAGTGATCGGAGAGGGGGCCACCTAGACCTCAAGTGCCTGGACACCTTTTGTCTTTATATTTACTTCTCTGGACACAGGGCAGAGGCCAGAATTGTGAGAACAGACTTTTCTAGTCTTAGAGATGGCAGTAGCTAGTGTAATTGTTCTGGCATAAATCATTAATGATACTGGGGTGGAGTATCAAATTGTAATCACTTACAGGCTTTTCCTTTTGTATTTTCAGTGGGGTCAGAGAAGGGCTTTCTTCCACCTGACATGCATTTGGTTCCTTGAGGGCTTATATTGGATCTGGAAACCTCATTACTCAAATTTGTGAAAAGTAAGACATGAAGTGTATTGGAGATTTATCAGAGTAAATTCTAGGTGGAAGTATAATAATTAAAAGAGACTAAGATCTTTTTTTTTTTAAATCATCCTCTAGCGTGGGGGAGGGGAGCCAAGATGACGGAGTGAAAGCAGTGACTTGCTTGAGCTCTCCCCCAAACCCCTCCAAACACTCATAAAAAATGGCTCTAAACAAATTCTGAACCAGCAGAACCCACAAAAAGACAGAGTGAAACAAATTTCCAGCCCAAGACAGCCTGGATGATTCATCAGAAAGGTGTATCACGCCAGGCTGGGAGCACAGCACAGAGTGGGTGGTGTGGGCACACAGACCTCAGCAAACCTGGAGCAGGCCTCAGAGGACTGAATCTCGGGCAGCTGTGGAGGTTTCCAGACTCCTCAATCCACCAATGCCAAAGACAACTTAGAAGGTCAGTGGGAAAGGTCTGTTTGTGTCGGTGCTGAGAAAGGAAGGCGGGATCTCAGCTCCTTTCCCAAGAGCGTGGCCGGGGGGGGCAGCTGCTTCCCAAGCTTCTGGCCCATAGACTGAGGGGGAATCCAGTGGCTGATCAGAGAGGGATTGCAGGGTTCTCTTTGCCAGTGC